GCTGGTTCTCACGGGGCTGGACCGTTGAAGAAACAGATGACAAGCTCCCGAATCCTAGACCCTTGGCTCAAGACCCGATCATAAACTGAGGACTTCTGTGCTAAGAGTACCGCTGAATTCTTGCAGCCCCCAGGCTGAGATAGCAAAAAATGAAACCTAACGTTTGAGCCTGCAGAATGGTGAGCTACCTCAGTGGCTACGGTCACAGCCTCACCAGTTCTGCTCCGTGGAAGTCAGACCCTTGACTGGGAAAGAGTGACCTTGGTGTCTGCATGGAGCCGTGTGGGAGGGTTTGGAGTGATGCTGAACCCCTGGAGCCCCTGATTCCCGCCGAGCCCCCTTGCAGGCTGAAGCAGCCTGTCCTCACTGTCTGATAACGCTGATCCTGCCTTAATGGGGCCCCGTTAATGACCCTCGTCCAAGATCCCCATTCCCCCCCATGTTTTCAAACCACAGTCGGGTCCCCAGACTGGGCAGAACTGAGTATCAACTCCAAACCAAAATCTGGGCAAAACTTTGCTGTTTCATACGATCAAAAATCTGGAGACGGTGCGTGAATGGATCCATTGAGCTGAATTTATACCCACCGGCCATTCTGGATTCAGGGTGTGGGTCTCAGCTGGGGGTGGCTCTAATTCTTTCCAGCGCCGGTTTGGGGGTTGGCAGGTATATGCTGCTGAAGCCTGACTCAGCGGCAGCCCGTGCTCGCTGAGACGGAGGGGGAGTAAAAGCCCAGGTATAAGGGAGAGACAGAGCTGTGAATTAACCATGGGTGACCCACGGCACCTAACCACAGCCCCTTCACCAGGACGGCACCAACCGCCTTGTGGAGGCAGCCCAACAGCTTTTAGAAGGCCTCAGTGTCCCGACTCCTGATTTCTAGGGTGGAAACCAAGACCCTGGGAGGTACAGGCTCTGTGGCAGCAATGAATGCCAGGGGCGGGGTGGGCACATCACTCTAATAGTAGCAGGACCAAGCAGCCACCCCGATGGTCTGACCAGCGGGGACTCAGGGGGCTAACGGATCACAAGTTCCCCAGGGCAAGAATGGATCAGCAGTCTCCAAGGACATGTGGCTTTTATAACCAGACAGACCTGGATCTGGTCAACAGAAGCCTGACTTGAGCCCTTTCCCCCAACACCCCTCCCACCGTGGATGGTCAGAGACAAGCCCTCCTCCACCCCCAGACTGAGTCTGTCCACTAATCTCCCTCGCACTTCGCCACGGGGACTACAGCCATTTATAGGAGAATCCGGCTCTGGGGAGCAGGGGGAGGGGGTTTGAGCCTCACGGAGTCCTTGTTTCCTCATCTGTAACACGAGGACAATAACATCTGCCTGAAAGGATGGTCGGGTTAATTGAGTGAAATAACGGGACAGTGGCTGAAACACAAACTTGCATTGCCTGCAGCTGAATTTTAATCCCTCTGTGATTTTGTGTTCATTCTTTCATTTGTTCCCATCTTCACTCCACTGCACTATCATCGGCCCTGTGCTGGGCACTGAGAGCTCAAAACTAACAACCCCTACCCGTGACTGAGGGTAAAGTACGTGCCTGGAGCAGGGCTCAGCCTCCATGTCTCTAACCTAGGCAACAGCTCTGCAAGGTCACATGGCAGGAGGTAGCAATGCTGGGATGGGGACCTAGTTGAGTTCTAGTGTTGTGCTTTCTCCACTGTGGCACCAAGCTCCTCAGAAGTTAATAAAATGAGGCGGCAAATACAGAGCTTGGGACACGGTGAAAGTGATAGAGAAAGAAGGAGGGGCATGGCTCAAAGAATGGAGGATGGATGGACAGATGGACAGATGGATGGATGGATGGATGGACAGGTGGGTGAGTGGCGGATGGGTAGATGGATGAATGGATGGATGGGTGAATGGACAGATGTATGGATGGGTGAGTGGGCGGGTGGGTGGGGAATACATGGATGGTGGGTAGGTAGATGAATGGATGGGTGGGTGAGTGGATGGACGGACGGATGGATGGATGGATAGAGAAATATAGACACAGAGAGAGATAATGACTAGATAGACTTAGAAGATGGATTTGACATGACCTCTAACCCTGGAGGATCTTCCAATCAAGGAAGATGCAGTGCTAAGCATGGACCTAGCTGGGAAATTGAAATATCTGCAGTTAGTAACACTGTCAGAGTCTGCCATTTTCCAGCCACAAACATGGTGTGTGAAGATCAGCCAGGCAAGCTATGACTTGGGGCAGACACACTTGATCGCCCGAATAACAGACCTTTTTGTTCATTTGTTCAACAGGAGTTCTAGCACCTAGTACCAGGCAGTATCCTAGGCTCCGGGCATAGAGTAGTGCACAAAATACCTCCGTGTGGAGAGTCCAGTATGTGATGCGGGAGGGGGCAAACAAGGATGATATATGTGTAGAATGAGCCAGATGAGAGTGAGCACCATGAAGACAAACAAAGCAGGGCAAGAAAGGAGGGCCCTGGAGGCCCAAAGGAAGGGAGCGAGGCCCAGATCTGGAAGGAGCAGCAACTTTCCCAGGATCACAGTAACTGGCGCGGCTGGATCAGACTAGAACCCAGGCGATGCACAGGTGTTGGGGTTCTGGAGTTCCTGATCGGATGCTACAGGATGGTGGAAACACACCAGATATGGTGTCAGCAGAGTAGGGTGCTGCTGGGATCCAGGCAGCCAGGAGCTGCGTGATCTCAATCCCCTAAACCCCTTTGCTATCACGTTACTGTTCATTTTGCCCTCCACTCCTTAAAACAACCCTGTATTTTCACAGATATTTTACTTTATACACTGTCAATGTTCACTCTTTTGTTTTCTGGAGGCAGTAGATGCTAAGCCTCTAAAGAAGGCCCCGGTTCTGCTCTAGCTGAGGGAGGAGAGCTGCTGGCTGGGACACAGAAGGCTCCTCAGGAGGAAGGAGATCTGAGCAGGCCTCAAATAGAGGAGAAGCATTCATAATGTGATGCCAAATGCCCAGACCAGCCTGGTGGCCATCTCTTTCCTAGAAAGAAGGGGGCTATTTATCAGGATTAGGGTCAATTTCAAAGGGCAGAAAACCCAAGTTAGGAGTAGCTCAAACAGAAAGAAATTTCTTCCTTTCTTATGTAAAAAAACCTGGGGGCGCCTGGCTGGCTCAGTTGGTAGAGCATGGGACTCTTGACTTCAAGGTCATGAGTTCAAGGCCCACATTGGGCACAGAGCTAACGTGGGGGAAAAAAAAAAAAAAAGAATAAAAACTCGTAAACTAGGTAGTCAGGTGGCAGGGACCCAGCCCCTTCTGTCTGGCTCCACCAATCTCAGTATTCGGCTTTAACCTCATGGCTCAACATGGCTGCTTGAGCACCAGACATCATGTCTGTATCACAGCAACAGGACAGAGCAAGGGATAAAGAAGGGAATGTCTTCTTCCCAGCAGCGGGGTTTCTAGAAGAATGCCATTTTAGGTTAGCAGTTCTAAGACCCAGAAAGGGCCCACCAGGTCCCTGGAAAGCCCACAGGCTTGGCACTACTGCTGCCTGAGATGGCATCTGGGGAGGGGAGAGATGCAGGCAGCTCTGCCTATCTCCCCCAGGAAGTTCCTGCAGCCATCCACGGAACAGCATAGAGGCGGCTGGCCGCTTCCAAGATGCCACATGCACTGGGCCCTCTATTGGCCCCCTAACTTCCACCTCCTACTGGAGTTGTCCCCCATCCTCTCAGCCAGAGTTTTCTCTGGTGCCCTGGGAACCCAGAACACTGGGTGGGAAAGAGAGGGTCCTACAGAGTTGGGCAGGCAGTCTAAGTTTCCAGCTAAAGCCCTCTGCCCCGTGCCTCCCACCACCACAGATGGACTCCAATTCCTCAAGTGTAGGACTTGGAGTCCCAGAAGAATTTAAACCAGATTGCTATAAAAGCCCTTGCTAGAGACTGACACAAGGTAGGGGCTCAAGAAGGTGAGTGAATGAGTGAATGAATGAATGAATGAATGAGTCAATAAATTACCAATCACTCAATCATGGTGTTAGTCAGTCTTAGCTCAGCCAAGTTGTCACCCAGCTTCCACTTACATACTTCCAGTGATGGAGAGATCACTACTTCTAGGGGCAAAATGGTTTTAGTTTTAGACGGTCCTTATGATGAGTCAGATTCCCCACCTCCTAGGTTTCCCCATCAGCCCCAGTCTGCCTACAGGTGGGACCCAAAACACATTTAGAATCTTTTTTATGTGATGGGACCCAAGCCTCTGCAGGCAAGGGAAAGCACAGAATCCCACAGCTGGACCTTAGAGGCCACAAGTCTCTTGGTCATCTTCTTGTGTTTCAGAGGAAGCCCTGACCAGAGAGGGGCTAGGACTCACCCAAGGCCACACAGCTGGGGAAGGGCTGAGCCAAGATCAGACCCCCAGATCCACCTTTCAGCTGTGTTCCTTCTAAATTCCACAGCCCCTCCAGCCTTCCCCACATGGGGTACCCCTCCCCACGGCCAGCCCCACCCTATGATGCCGAGGATCTGGTGCCCTTATGGAGATCCTCATGCTGGAGAAAACCATCTCTTGTCACTGCCAGTGACAGGCACAGGGCTGAGACCTGTGGTCAGGGGGTCAGGAGCTGCTGCCAGACCAAGACCTGTAGGACAGGCTGTATGGCTCTTACCCACCCCCCAGGCAGGGGCCTCCCTCAGAACAGCAGGCCCACGTGTGTACACTCCCACGTGTGAGCGTGTGCACGAGTGTGTGCTTGCACTTTCCAGAGCCAGAGGAACACGTAACAAGCTGTCAGTAAATCCTGCCAATTCGAGAAGGGTAATTGTCACGCACGATGCCAACAGACAGAACTCCAGTGGATTCACTTGTTTTGTTTTGTGGTTATTTTTTTTTTTTACAACTTTAAATACGGAATATAAATAAATTTACATTTAAAAAATAAAAGGAAAGCCCCCAAAAATATAATCACCAACTTTACAAACTGAAGGAAGCAGATTTTGGAGGGGGAGGGGGGACGGGAGGAAAGTGCAGTCGAAGGTGGGGAGGGAGGTGGGAGCTCAGACCCCACCCCAGGGAGCCCTGGGCATATTTTCCCTTTTCTCCCCCACTCCCAGCCCATGAGCTGGTTTCCTAGGAGGAGCCACCAGAAGTGGAACTCAAAAGAATCTAATACGGGGGGAGTGTGCAGGGGGCGAGCAAGGACTGCCCCCTCCCTTTGGAGACTTTCTCTTGGGTTTTTCACACCCGCCTGGAAAGGGGAACTGCTTGAGCTGAGGACTCAGGAAAACGGAGGCCAGATGGACAACAGTGTTGCCTCCCCACCCAACACGGGCTCGCTCCTGTCCAAGCACTCCAAGCCATTGGCCAGGTCGGGACACAGCCAGTCCACGTGGAGCCTTCGTGTCAGTTAGGAAAAGGATCCCTTTCTCCAGACATTTTTATCTCCATCTGCCAGAAAACTGTCCTAATAAATATACAAATTGGCCACGTTCTACGGTGTGAACAATGATCCCTGCAGGAAGTGCCCTTGTGCAGTGCACACCCTGCACAAACCTACTTGGCAGTCTTGGCTGGGCTGGGACATGATGGGCAGGCCCCCTGCTGCCCTGACCCCTGGTCTTCAGCCTAACGGAGCAGAAGCATGGGGTCCAAGAGTCCCTTGGTGGAGCAGACTGAGGGCCAGGACAAGAGGAAGATACAGGGTAGAGGTAGAGAGATAAAACAGAGGAAGTGAAGGTGGGGGGAGTGGAAGGAGGCAGTGAATGCCCAGGTCACCAGCCACGTCGACTCCAGAGCAAACTTCATCTCTAACCCATCTGAGGGGGCACTTGGCTGCCTGGTGCTTGGGCCACGCCCACCCAGAGGAGTCCATACCGTCAGAGATCTCGTATGCATAAAACAAAAGGAAGCCGCTGTAAGCAGAGGTGACCAGGGAGAAGTGACTGGGCCTGGGTGCCGTGGGAGGGCTTTTCTCGAGTCTGTGCTTCCCTGCGTGGTCTCAGCCACAGGAGTACGAGGTACCCTGGCCTGCCTGGGGTGGTTCCCTTCAGAGCTGGCCAGGGGTCCTGGAACCAGGCAGGCCACCCAGGCCTAGAGGCCTCAGAGCCTTGTGCAAGGCTTTGGGCCAGTCCACAGCGCTCAGGTGTGACCCTGGCCGGGAGCCGGGGAAGAGCAGGCCCACCGGTCTCTCTTGCGCTTCTATCCCAGACTCTCGGGGTCGGCGGAGGAAGACAGCAGTGGAGTTCAGGTCCTCCGTTTCCTTCTCGAGCTTCCGGGCAAGGTGCTGGAGGCCAATGAGGGGACCCGCTGGTGGGTGGACGGACGCGCGGAAGGGGTAAGCACCATTGGCCGTCCGAATCAGGCATCGAGACAGACGGACGAGGGGAACAATATTATCACTCCAAGGACCCCATGGGGGCGATACAGCAAATACCATATTAAATAACCCTGTGGGCCAAGCAGAGGGACGGGGGGGTGGGGTCAGAGACGGCCTAGGGGCTCCATCCCACGCTCACACGCCTCCCTTGCCGGGGATGGGGAGCTGATTTCCAGCATCGCTCAGGGCTGGGGCAGTTGAGGGTTAGACTTCCCACCTCCTAGGGCATGCTGGGACACAGCTGGGCTGGGGTCCCCAAAGCCCCCTCACCCACCTACCCTATGGGAAAATTCAGCTGAAACCGGGTGGAGGGGATCCAGGCTGAGAGCCGGGATTTTGTTTGGGGAAATACCTCTCCTCATCCCCTTCCACAGCCCAAGCCGCAGGCCAGAGAGAAGAAAGACCAGGGGTCTGGGCCTCAGGCTCCCCACCAGGCCTCACCTGCCCACACTCTCCTGCAGGTGCCCCTAGGCTCCGAGGGTCTCCTTCAGTGCCTTCTTGTCATGCGTGTGCTTGAACTTCCGGTGCTTCCCCTTGGGGGGCCGGCGGACTCGCACTGTCCGAATGGTCACCCGAGTTTGGGGTGTCCTGGCTGCTTGAGAAAAAGAAAGGTCTTGTCAGCAGGTGGACAGCCACTGGAGAGGGTCTATCGCTCTCAACCAACCAACACCTGCCGCAGACCTCTCCAGATCTTCTGGGCTGAAAGAAGGGGTAGGAGTCTGAGGCCAGCCCTCCTTGGGTTCAAATCCCAACTCCACTGCTTACCAATTATTGAACTACTCCATGCCTCAGTTTGCCCACCTGTGATATGGGCGTAATAAGACCGCCCCCTCACAGGACTGGTAAAACGAATAAATGGCAGTTTATTGGCAAACACAGAGGGGAGCAGTAGATTAGCTATGGCTTCAAGTTCTTTGTCCTCACCCCACTGACCCTCCTAATTTCCATGCCCCTTGAGCCTGGCGTGGACTTAGATCTGTTAACCAGTCGAAGGAGGCAGAATGGTGCTGTGCCAGTTCCAGGCAAAACCCTTAAGAAGGCCTGGCAGCTCCCAGAGCGCCTGGGTGGCTCAGTCGGTTGAGGCTCAGATTTCAGCTCAGGTCATGATCTTGGGGTCCCGGGATCAAGCCCCGTGTCAGGCTCTGTGCTCAGCAGGGAGTCTGCTGGAGATTCTCTCTCCCTCTCCCTCTGCCCCTCCCCGCTGCTGACATGCTTCCTCTCTCTCTCTCTCTAAAGTAAATAAATATTTAAAAAAGAAGAAGAAGAAAGCTTGGCAGCTCCCCCCATTTTGCCTTGGGGAGCCCTGTGCTACTGCCTAAGAAGTCTGGCTACTCTCCCGGGGAAGGCACCTGGGGAGCAGACGCCCTGGAGTACAGCAAGAGGGACATGGGCCCAGCTGCCCCACGCAGCCTGCAGACAACACATTACAACCAACGGAGACGTAAGCAGAATCACCAAGCAGAGCCCAGTCAACCCAGCAATTGCGGAGAGATGATAAAATGGTTATTGTCTTAAGCCACGAAGATCAGACTAAGAAGTGATCGGCAAACGGGAGCTGCTCTTACTCACTTTTTTCTTATTCCCTCGCTTGACCACCTGTTGAGGTTTCCTCCCACCAGCCTCTCAAGCCCCTTCCAGTTCTGGGATGCGGGACCACTAGGCATCGGGCCAGAACCACACACTCCCACTGTGGAGCTGGGCCTCCCCATCCCTGTGCCTGTCAACACCCGGCCCTCGCCACTCCAAGAAGCGGCTCAGTGGGGCAGGCCAGAGCTCGGGCTGTGGGCCAGACCACCCGGGTTCGAATCTGGGCTTTCCCAGGTATTAGTGGCGTACGTTGGGGCAAGTCACATAAACTCTCTGCGCCTCAATTTCTGTATCTTTAAAAGTGAGCTGGCAGCAGCCCTGGCCCTCGGGTTAGGTGATAATACATGGACATAGCCAGAAACCCTTGGCTAGCACTTCCTGTGCACCTGGCAATGTTCTAAGCTCACTTCTCCTCACAGCAGGTAGAAGCGTCTACATTTAACAGACAGGAAAACCAAGGCAGAGACACTGGGATTTGGACCTAGGAGTCGGCCTCTGGAGTCCACACTTTTCAACCACTGGCCTGTAAATCACAGTACTTGTGAGCCTCGGGCAAGGTTAGCACTGCTGTCTCCTTTCTCCCCTCAACACCCTGGCAGTGGAAGCTTCCTCTGCCAAGCTCAAGGCCCATCTCTTCCTGGGAGCCTTCCCCGGCACCCCCAGCTCTCTGGGGCCAATGCCGACTTCCCACCTCACAGACATAAGCTCCCATGAGGCAGTTAGCCCATCTCTGCCATCGGGCAGTGTAAGGATGTGGGTGGGTCTCAGATTCCCCTTGGGGGAGGACACCTAGAAGGGCCACTGAAGGGCCCAGAGTTTGGGCTCCAGAGATGGGGTCATCAGCAGGATCCGGGGCTGGGCAAAGCTCGAGCAGGCTCCAGGTCGTCATGCAGCTCATGAGTGACAGAGCCGAGTCTCGAGCCCAGGAAGTCTGACACCGGTATCACACGGTGTCACGGCACCAAGCCTTCGCCAGGCCGGGGCCAAACTGCTGAAACTGACATGGCAAGACTTTCTGTAATCTACATATTAATCGGTTGAACATGCCTTCCAAGATCCGGCTTGGAAAATCAGAGGAAGCACAGGCACACGAAAGAACCCCGTCCTAAACATAAAGGAGAATATGATTTTTCCTGACTAGAAACCATTCTATGTTAATTCTTATTATTATCCCACATGATTCGCTATCCCATGTTGTTCCGTGTTAACTGTATTAATAATTTACAACAGGTCAGTTGGAAGCTGTCAAGTCATCAACCTTTCCAGGGCATCCGTGCCTCAGCTCGGCTCTCGGAACAGGGCAAAGAGGCTATGAGGCCTGCCTTTGCGAGGCTTCTAAGATGTTCTGTCCTCTACCAATAGAAAGTTACTGAGAATCGACACGTGATTCTTTTTATGCTCATCTAAACATATTAACTTAATAAATCTTGATCTTTGGGGTGCCTGGCTGGCTCAGTTGGTAGAACATGAGACTCTTGATCCACAGTTGTGAGTTCAAACCCCATGTTGGGTGTAGAGATTACTTAAAAATAAAATCTTAAAATGATAATAATAAAAATTATAATTATATATAGAGGCCATATCATATATACATACACATATATATGGCTGTGCCCCAGCAGCCCCATCAAGAACACTGAACTGACTTATAAGGTCATCTCTCTGGACCTTTCTAGCTCTAACAACGTTAAATTCTTTAAAAAAAAAAAAAAGAAAGAAAGAAATGACAAGGCAGGTAAGAGCCAGCGACTGCTGTCACGGTGAGAGAAGGGCCAAGAACAGAACTTCGGGATACCTAGACTCCAGCTGTACCCCTGCCTGGGACTGGCTGTGTGACCTTGAGCGAGACCCCAGCCTCTCTGAGCCTCAGGCACCTCCTCTGTAAAATGTGGACCAGGCAATTGGATCAGATCATTTTTTGGGTCCCTTTCAACTCAAAGTATGCCCCTGAACTTGTGAATTCATGAACTCTAAAGAGTGGAACAGAGGTCCAGTTCCAATTATCCATCTGATGCTTGAACTGTCACATCACCGCTGCATGGTTGCCCAGTCTCTACCTACACATCTTCAATGACAGGAAACTCACTACCACACAAAGCATACAATTCCATCTTGGCCTGCTGACTGATTGACAGCTTTTGGTATATGGAGTTAAAATCTCTCTCCAGCAGCTTTTCTCCACTGGTCCTAATCCCCCCTGAAGGCCACAGGGAATAAGTTTGATTTCTCATCTCATATCTGAAGATGATGTCCATGAAGTCTTCTCTTGTCCCACTATTTCATGTACTCATTCAACAAAGGAGGGGGCTATGGTAGCAAGACAGGGATGGGAGCTGCTCTGGACAGGGTAGTCAGGGCAGGCCTCTAGGAGAAGGTGACTTCTGAGTTGAGACCCAAATGAAGACAAGTAGCTTGTGAAGAGTTGAGAGAAGTGAATTTCAGATGGAAAGTGGCACGTGCAAAGGCCCTGTGGCAGAAAGGTACCTGGCCACTCAAGGCGGTCAGGCTGGTTGGGGCAGCATAAGTGAGGAGGAATGGTGGGCAGCAAGGCTGGAAGGCCAGTCAGGGGCTAACATCCTCATGTAAAGCCTCGCAGACGGGAGAAATCTGGATTGTTCTCAGTGAGATGGTAACCTTCAGATGAATTTTAACCAGGGGCATGCCTGATCCAGTTTCTGCCCCCCCCCCCCCACCGCCAGTGACAGGTGCCCTAAGAGAAGGGAGCTGCCCAGCTGAGCAATTCAGGGGTAGACCCTGGACCAGCGGTTACCTCGCTGCTCTTGGCTACTCCCTGGGCCTCGGGTCACGGGTCGAGTAGCCACCACTGTCTCACACTTGCACGCCAGGTGGTCCTCCAGGGTCACTGTGGCCTTCTTAAAGGTTGGCTTCTTCCGTACAATCTCGATTTTTCTCACCTGGAGGACAGAACCATCCAAATGCCTCTGTAAGACCACACAGGCAGGGGCTGAGGGAGCCCGCCTGCCTGCTCTTTCCCCCCCGCCCCGTGTCCCCGGCAGGGATCTTTCCTCGAAAGCCAGGGGTAGAGAGGCACTGGCCCAAACAATAGCAGGACCTTGCCCTCTGCCCTTCTCGTAGCTTTTCCATCAAAACAAGCCCTCCCGACCTGGCCTCCAGCTTGGCCCCAGCCCCCTTGGAGCTCCCAGAAAGGGAGAAAGGCATTTCCGGGTTGAGTGCAGGGCCTGTGGTGTCCTCATTCCCGGAGCGCCAGCCAAGGTCAGGGACTGTGGCAGAGGCGGGAGATGGTTGTCTGGAAGGAAGTGGGGGGAGGCTTTATCCAGGAGGGAGGCGGGAAGGGGGAGGTCAGCTGTCAGGTGTCCATCCATAGAGCTGGAAGCACTGGGGACAAGAGATACCATGACAGTGGGTGGTGTGGTAGAGAGTGACACTTGCGATCTCGGGCACGGGGCCCAGGCCTGGGATGGATGGTGGGCACGGGGAAAGGCCACAGCTGACCTCGGAGCGGAGTGTGGCAAAGCAGGTGGACCATTTGGCAAGAGCGGGGCTCACCAGCCGGTGCTGAGCCCGAGGTGTGCCCCCTGCCCAGCAGCTCCGCCCCGCCAGAGTTGATGTGTAGGCGAGGCTGACCCAAGGGGCACAAAAACCTTTCCACGTGAATCAGAAGACAGCTGAGGCTTCTCTGGCCCTGCCCTGCCCAGCATGAGACCCGGAGCTCCCCAGAGCAGCCTCTATTCTAGAATTTGCCTTGAGTCAGACTGCAAACCCGATCTCTCCTGAAAGGAGGCAGGATTCAGCATTCTGACCCTTTGCTAGGGGCTGCCCCAGCATTTGCTGTATCTGTTGCCTGGAGGGACTCTGTATCCTCTTTGTTAAAGACACAACAAGGAACCTGAACAGGTTTGGAGGAAAACTGAGCAGCCCAGAACATTCTGAGTGTCCAATAAATGCTTGTAGACAGGTCTCTTCAAGGGACATTTAGGGATTTGATCCCTGTAAAAGAGGAGGCAGCACCCTTCCCTTAACGTCCCACACCCAGCCCTGCCTGGGGGTCTGCCTTTGGCTTTTGGGTCCAGCGACCTCGGTGGCCTTGAGGACTCACAGGTGGCCTCAGCGCACCTGCACAGAGAGCCCTAACTGGACAGAGCCCAGGAGCTTCTCCATCCCTACGCAAGCCGGCCGGTGAGTCTATCCCCCCCACCTTGGCCAGCGCCCTGGCCCTCAGCCCTCCTCCTCCCCCCCTCGCCCCCAGCCGGGCGGGCGGGGCGGCGGCGCGCCTGCGCACCTGGACGGGCCGCAGCTGCACCCGGGTGGGGCGGCACTGCACGTTGCGGTTGTTACAGCAGCCGGAGCAGCGCTGCACCTCCACGCACGGCGGCCACACCAGGAAGTTGGCGTTGGTGTGGTCGATGAGGCGCCGCGAGATCTCGAACACCTCAGTGCGCGTCTTGCACTCGGCGATCATGGCCGGCTCGGCGACCGTCGGCGAACCTGAAGGGAGAGAGGGGAGAGCGCCGTCAGGAGGGTGGGCCTGCCCAGAGCGCCCCCCTCCCCCCAGCGGCCCAGCCCAGCGGGACGGCTCTGACCCTGCTCTCCCTCCCAGACTGCCCCGGCTGAGTCCCACTTGCTTCCACCTCCGGGTGGCCTTGTGCGCCTCCTGGCTGTTAGCTGTGGGACTTGGACAGGTTGCTGCTGTGCCCGCAGCCTCAGTTTCCCCATGAGATCTACACCCACAAACCGCTGTAAGGATCAAGTGAGATCACGGAGAGTGCTGGCCTGGCAGATGTCAGTTTCCTCCCACCGGGCCTCAAGTTCGTTCCGTGATTTCACACATTTCTGGGCTCGCCTGACCCCTGGCTCCTACTCGCTTATTTATTTTGTAACCACTCTTTTATGTTGCCCTTGTACACTGTAATCTATTCTCACACCCTTGCTTCTTTCAAAGCCGGCTTCCTCAACTACGGCAGGGGCTAACAGCGCCTGTACACTGCACTTGCCCATCTGAGTCATGCGAGCAGCCCACAGCAAGCCTTCGGTCCATGCTGGGGCTCTGCGGTTGTTCCCACAGAGAGACACAGAGGCTCGACTAGCTGCCCAAGTTCACTGAGGAGTGGAACTCAGGCCACCAACTCCTATCTGAAGGGCCCCCTGGCCACTATCTACAGTGTTTGGGGGACTACAGGTGGGCAGAGATGAGGAGGGGTTTAGAGCAGGCACTGGCCTCCCCTGGGAAGGCTTCCATGGGACCTAGGCAGGTGCCAAGCTTTGCCTGCTGTCCCAGCCGCAGCCCTGAGCCACAGAAGAGACACACAGCCCACCAGGACGGCACTGGGTTCAAGTGAGAAGAGCTGCTGGGACCCCAGCCCTATCCCTTCCTAGCTGTGTGACTTTTGGCCACGGCTTTACCCTGTCTGGGCCTCAGTTTCCAACTGTACAAAATGGGGTCAGTAATATCTATCTCTAGGGTTGGAGAATGAACAAATGAGTTTAAAAGCACTATATTTAGGAAACTATGTATTGGGGGATGGGGCGTGATGACTCAACTCCTCAATATAGTATATTGAAGGACAGTTTTACTTTCTTATAGTCCAACTCAGGCCTCAGCGTAGGACGAATGCGGTGGCCCAGAGCCGTGGGCCGGCTGCACGCTCCAGTTCTCCTTATCTGGCTCCCACCACGGAGGGGTCACCATTCTCGTCTGCAGCCTCACCTAGGCTCCTTCTCCCTCGGGATAAGCTCTCCAGCTCGCCTCCAGAATGGGATCGGGTCAAATTCAGGTCCAACTCGGCCCCGTCTTCATCTGCAAGAGAAGGTACAGTCAGATGCACTCTCGTTGCCCCTAGCTGGTCCGACCGTGGGGTGGGGGCGCCAATGGGGGATCTGGGGCAGGCAGGAAGGTGGCCTCTCGCCCCTCACTGGCACCCCACTCTAAAGAACAGACTCCCTTTCCAGGTCCCTGTAAACCTGAGGGTCCTCGCTCTGACAAGGAGCACTCCAGGCAACCCCAGGGTGGTCATGGGGCTCAGGAGGTGGTGGGGACCGGACAGCATCCCTGGGCGGCGGGGCCTTTCAGCCCCACTCTGGGCTCTTCAGCCACATTTTTGGACAGAACCCATGTCAAAGGAGTTAAAAATAACCCTTCCCTTTTGCTACTGTAAGTGAACCCTCGTCAGCCTCCAGGGCAGGGCAAGGACCCAGAGCTCAGAAGGCCAGTTTCCAGTGCCCCTCCACCCAGTGTTCCCATAGGAAGCGCTGAGTGGAGAAATTCCCAGAATCCCCGGGGGGACCAGCATGCCCTGGACACAGCCCCTCTGGAGCCCCGGACAATGGCCCAGCTGAGCTGGAGAGAGGGAGGAGGGATAGGAGTGGGGGTGGGGGCTGAAGGCAGAGAGGGGTGGGGAGCCAGCCTGCTGGGCTGCGGTGGCCGGTACCCTGAGCCCTTAAGGCCTGGGTCTTGTTCCAGCTCCTAGTATCTCACTGTGTTTGCCTCTCCCCTCTAACCTTTGACCTGGTGTCTGCCCTAAACTGTCCATTTCTCCCTCAGGTCATAAACTACAGCTCCTTTCTCCAGCCGGGGAGGCCCTCATCGTGATATCATCCTTGGTGCTCCTTGGAGCTATCCCTCTCTCTAGAGGCAGCTGACAGCACTGTGGGAGGTGAGGGCCAGACAGGAGGACTTTGAGCTTGACACTGAATCCTGGGCAGACCCTTCCAGCTCTCTGATGGCTGAAGAGTGAGCAAATAGACCGTGGGGTGTTGGGGACAAGCTCCCGCCCTGCCAACGACAAAGCTCCTGCTCTTCTGTGTGGGTTCCCCGGGGGGTCCTGTTTGGAGGAGCCGGTCCTACAACGGCTGTGTTTCCATCCAGCCTACTGCTCCCACGTCAGTGTGTCTGTCTGTCCCTCTTGCTCCCTTCCTTTCTCCCTGCCATCTCTGGAATGTCCCTGGTGGAGAGGAGATGGGGGAAAAGATGTGCTTTGTGGAAAGGTTAAGTTGATTAGGAAAAAATAGCCACATGGTTGCCTCGAAACAGGCCCGCTATTGAAAACCTCTGTCTCCAATCCCGACCCCCGGCCGGGGTGTGTAGGGGCTGTCCGAGGGTGGGGGCCAAGGGCCTTGGAAAGAAACTGCAGAAAGGCTAAATTTGGAAGTTGCCCCATTGTGTTGGCCAGGGCTGGCCAGTCGGGCATGGGGTGGGGGGTGTGGGAGACGTCGGGCGGGGGGCCTGGTGAACAATAGGTGGGCCCAGCTGGGGCCCCCTCCCGCCTGCCTCGCCAGCCCCCGGCACAGGCGGGTTTGAAAGGGCCCGGGAATGCTTTTGAGAGGGAGCCAGGGGCCCAACGGGGAGAGGAAACAAAGACAGGAAATGCTGTCCCCCGTAGATAGGAGTCTGGGCAAGGATTACAAAGTGACAAAGAGACAAAACCCTAGAGGGAAGGGGAGCTGGGGGTGCAGGGGGGGTGCTGACCAGGGCTCCAGGGAACAGGCCAGAGGTTAGAATAGAATGGAATTTGCTCTGAAGACAGCGTTTATAAATACATTCCCGACCCAGCCCGGCAGCCCTGCCACGTGTGTGCCACCAAGCACGTGCCCATTTGCTGAGTGCACTCTCGGGCTAGGGCAGGGCTGCCCGCTGGTCTGGGCCAGGTGTCCCCGGGAGACCTTACAGACTGGGCCCTCAGCCAGAGGGGCAGGGAGATGGCTCCTTCGGCACCACCCTACCTGGTTGGGTCCACACCTGGATACACATTCGGCATATGCCCTGGGCACCTTCTTTCTCCCTGCACCCCTCCTGCCGGCACCCCACCCCGTGCACCAAGCCAGAGCCACAGGTGGGTGCTTCTGCCACACCTCACGTCCCAGGTACCAACCCATCCACCTACTCAGCCCTGCCCGGGGACAGGTGTGGCCGAGCCCTCCTGGGACTGCCACAGGCCTCTAGTTCTCTGGAAGTCAAGGAAGGGAGGCTGCCCCTTGCCCTGCCCCTCCTGGCCCCTGAGGACTCAGTGGAGGCCCAGAGCCCTGAATGAGGGTTCAATTTACCTACGGAGGCTCCGTGCAGCAGGCGCTGGAGGTCATCAAAGGAGCGGATCGAGTGGTCACTCAGCATCTCGTAGAGCTCCTCGGGAATGGGGTCCCCCTGCCAGGCAGACACCGTGGGGTCAAGTGAGCTGGAGTCGAGGGCTTTCTAGCCATGGCCCTCTTCCCTGCCACACACACGCACCGTCCTATGGAAAAGCCCCACAGGGCCTCTCGGCCATGGGCAAATGGACAGCCAGGCCGGCGGGGGCACGGTTCCAGGCCTGGCAACCAGAAGCACAAAGTTCTGGGGGCCAGAACCTGCTGAAGCCTCTAAGACCCAAATCAGATGCCCATCCCCCACCCCCAAAAGGGAGCCCCAGCTTGCTCTGAGTTAGATCCGATGGTGTACATCTGTCTCCCACATCGCATCACAGGTTCCTGGAGACTCCAACCACCTTTCCGCTTTTCCTCCCCACCTGACCGCCAATGACAGCCAGCATTTGTCACAGGAGATCTAATTGTCCCCATTTTATAGATGAGAAAACAGAATCTTCCAGCCAATTATCAGTAGAACCTGCATTCAAAGCCAAGGCTTTCTGATGGCAGAGCCTGTCCCCCCAGCCTCCTGGGTACATGAGCTGGTTCCTAAATGCTTGGGGAGCTGGACAGGCTCCAGGGGCCCCAGGTACTAACAGATCTATTTAGTCTCTTGCTCAAAAGAGGAGAGAAGGGAATCCTCAGATACAGACACGAAACCTGAAAGCTTACCCATGCCCCATGCCCAACCAAACCCTATTTTTAGAGCCCCTCTGGCCTGTTACCAAAAACACTTGAAACTTAATAAGTGCTTTCACAGGCCCCACTCGGAGCCGGGCTTCCTCCAGGGAAACCACAGGCCTCAAAATGACATGACAGCAGCCTGATAGGAAGGTCACAGCCACATCCCTCGTGGTCCAGGGAAACCTGAGGGGCTGATGCCAGAGGTCTTGAGGAGGAGGCCCCAATCTGGACACCCAATGCCTCGGGGCAAAGGAAATGTGGGAGACCCTGCTTCATTTCCGAACTCACAGCCGTACAAACACACACACGAGCACACACAGATGCAGGATGGCACAGTCCTGTGGAAGGAGCCCTGGCGGGGGCGCCGACAGACCTAACTTACTTAAACAACTCTGTGCCTCAGTTTCTCTGGATGAGGAAGCAGGAGCTCCTGCTCTAGGCAGTTCATGGAACACTCCAAGGACCTTTTTTTTTTTTTAAAGATTTTATTTATTTGACAGAGAGAGACACAGCAAGAGAGGGAACACAAGCAGGGGGAGTGGGAGAGGGAGAAGCAGGCTCTCTGCTGAGCAGGGAGCCCGATGCGGTGCTACATCCCAGGACCCTGGGATCATGACCTGAGCCGAAGGCAGATGCTTAAGGACTGAGCCACCCAGGCACCCCTCCAAGGACCTGAGTTCTGATTGGCTTTGCACAGGCTGAGTCCCCGCCTGACAGGGGTAGGAAGTCCTCTGCCCCGTGGCTGGCCCCAGGGGGCTCTCCCCAAAGCACTGTTAGGAGCTTGGGGATGGATCAGTTTCTGGCTCCCCCAAAGCTCCGTTTCCTCAACGGTTATCATGGCGTCTGGGAACACCTCCTCCAGGGGTTCTACCCCACCCATCCAGCCCTGGCCACCCAGGTCGACCTTGGAGGGAGGGTAGAGTGTGGGTTACGTTCGCTTTTAAAACGAATTCCTTGGAACCCCCGAGCTCAGTTTTTTCATTTGAACTCAGAGCTTATAATCCTGCCTGGTGTCTAGGGTTGCCGGGAGGTTCAAGACAGGGAGGCTTGGGGCCCGAGCAGTAAGCTTGGCTGGCAGCTGGGGACTTTCCTTCAGGGTCCATGGCTACGAAGCGTGAGATGGGGGAGGGGCATCAGTTCAGCTGCCCCTCGCTTTCCTCCCAGACTTCTGCCACGCTCCGCCTCCTCCTACTCCAAGACAGAGACCATGCCTTTGGTGTCTCCAAATGGGGACACAGGGCACTACCCACAGACTGGAAGGCAGGCGGCTGGTCCCCAGTGAAGACCACGACTGGTTTTGCCAAGCCCAGAACTGGTAGTCCAGGGAGCTAAATTCTACCCTTGTTCTGCTACTAACCACCCCATGACCTGGGGCGGGTCACTGCCCCTCTCTGGTTCTGGCCTCCATCTGTGAATCAGGGTGTCGAAGACATTTGATTCCATCCTAATTCTGACTGTGCTGGTAGAGGTAACAGAGGAAAGCCGAGGGTGAGGTGTCCAGCCAGGGCTTCCAGGCTGTCTGTGCAGTAATGATTCAATTAACCCCCCAGGAGAGGGCCCCAAGGCCCAGGACCAAATGGCATACAGCACTCATGCCAAGACCTCCTTGCCCATTGGCTGCAGTTGCCAGGCGGGGCAGAGTAGGCAGACCCCAAACAGGACTAGCAGGTGCCCCAGACCCAGCCTGCGATGCAAGAGACAATGTTTTATGGAAACGGACCCAGACCCTCCCAGGCTGAGTAGTGAAGAGCCCAGGACAGATGGGGGAGGTGGGAGAAGTACACAGTAGGTGCTCAAGAAGTACTCATAAAATGCATAAAGGACTCTCCCCTTCTCCCTGGGGTTCTCTCCTGTGTGATCCTCCTACCTCCTCCACCAGGAGGACCCCCTGGGTTAATACCCCCTTCCACCCTCTAAGCAAACTGCCTCCTAAAAAGTCCACTTCACTCTAAGCAGAGAGGCCATTCCTGCACATGTTTCTAGTAACTTGGCCACTGGATGCCCAGAACTCACTAAGAGCTGCCTGGATTTGATAATAACACCACAGCTAACTTTTATTAAGTGCTGACTATAAGCTAGGCACTGAGCTAAATGCTGTACCAATCCTAAGCAGCTGGCTCTATATTTTTATCCCCATCTTCCAGATGAGGAAGCTAAAGGCTTAGAGAAATAAGTAAAGGGCTACAGGTCTACAACACAAGAGCAGAGCCACGCCCCTCCCTCTTCCAGCCCACCACGGAGCTTTCTGGCACCAGGTGTCCCAGAGCAGGGGCTAGAGGGTCCTCAGGGGACACTGGCCATGGCTGAGGTGGTCACAACTAGAGCAGTGCTCCAGGCATCTAGTAGGTGGTGGCCAGTGATCCTGCTAAACATCCCACTATGCATGGGGCAGCCTTCCACAATAAAGAATTATCTGGCCCAAGATGTCAATAGGGCAGAGGTCGAGAAACTCGAGTACACAGAAAAGCAGGGGCTTCAGCAGCCAAGGAAACCTGGCCTCTTGGATGAAGCCTTTGAACAACCTTAGCTTCTTTATCTTTCAAATGGGGCGAAGAACACCTGACTGGTGTTATTGGGAGGCATAACTGCACCTAGCAGAGTGGCCGCAAGTAACAGGTACTTAATGAGCTGTCAGTGGCCCATTCAGTCTTTCAGGTGGCTCCTTCAAGAAGGGCAGCAGTGAGCAGCACACACGCCCAGGGCCAGCCAGGCAGGGCATTTTTGAGGAAGACAGTTGGTGGGTGGAGAGCTGCCTGCCCCGGGAGAGCGTGTGGCTTTGCGTTATCGGGGGCCGCGTGGGCTGGCAGGTCCCTTCCGGGGCTGGGGGCGGGTGAGGGATGGGGAAATTCAGCCTGTGGTCGGCTCCAGGATGCAGCGCCCTGGGGGAGACTCGCAGGGGCACCTGCTGGGGGTCAGAGGCTCCTCTTGGCGTGGGAGGGTGAGCAGCCTGGAGCCCGGGTTTCCTGGGCACAGGTTCTTGAACCCTCCTTAGGTGGGCAGGGACAAGAGGCATGGCATCCAGATGAAGCTGCCCCAGATCTCAGGCCCGGGGTTCCTGACAGGGCGAGGGCGCGGTGAGAAGACAGCTGGGGCACAGCCAGCCGTGGGAGCCAAGGCAAACAGTCTCCTCCCCTCCCTCCCCACCCCCAACACCAGCTGCAGAAGGTAGGAAGGGCACTAGCAGTGAGGCCAGGCGAATTACCTGCTCCCACCCCGGCTGGCAGATCAAAGGGGCTCGGACCCCACCCTCCCCCAGGGCCCCAGCTGCGCACACACATTCGCACTCCCCAGCCCACCGCTCCTCCTCGGAGGGAGATGACAGGCTCAGCCAGAGCAACCAGGGGCGTTGGCTGCGGCTGGCGGAGAGAGAAGCCGGCGAGGCCTCCAAGCGCCCGCCTGCCTGACAAGTCTCAGGCCTGATTTAGATTCGATGCCAAAGCCAAGCCCTTTGAAGAAGACTTCTCCGGGCAGACCACAGAAGCCATTTAGAACCAGACTTTCCCACCTCGCATTTCCCTTCCCTATTGCTCCTGGGACCCTCCCGCCCCTCCTGAATGTTAGCCCAGCCCCACACTGGGTTGTCGGCCTCTCCCTGGAGCAGAAAATCTGTTACGGCTGGAAGAGGGGCCAGTGCTGCAGTTACAACCCGGGCTGGCCCATCACAGTCACTGCCCCCCCTCCAGGCCCGCTGCCCCGAGGGTCCTCCCCTCCACCCCAGGCCGGCCCAACTCCCAGCCCTGGCGCGGGGTGAGCAGGAATCTGCATTTGCAAGAGTCCAGGGAATTCTGCTGCTCTTAGGAAACTCTGAGCTGATCCAACCTTCACATTTTGGGGAGGGGTGGGAGAAACTGAGGCCCAGCTCAAGATACACAGAATCTCTGCAGTCTGATTTTCCTTCTGTTTCCTCCTCTGTCCTGTCCAATCTTGGAGTCCAAGTCCCAAGACGCGGAACAGAAAGACAAGCTTGTCTCTCAAGATAGGGGGAAGGGCTCAAATGAGAATGTCTGCCTGGAGGGCAGAGTAGCCGGACGCATTGCCCTGGGGGTGAGGACTACGTGAGGCCATGTTTATAAAGCACTTAGCAAGCGCTAGACAGATGTCTGGTCCTTCCTCACTGCCTCCCCCCATGCCCCCCCCACATCCACTGTCCTTTCCCCAAATATTTATAGATTATCCACCTTGGACCAGGCACTGTTCCAACAATGGGAGACAGCGGTGACCAAGACAAACTCTCTAGAGGAGTTTAGACTAGTGAGGGAAAACGGACAATAAATAAACCAGAAAATGGAATAGCTATCCTAAAAGAGGCATATGGGGAGGGGGGGACTGAGAGGGACCCAGGAAGCCCATAGCAAACCCCTCTTTACCACTCTCGCTGAATCAACCCCCCCCCCCCCAACACACACATATATAAACATTGTTCTAGGTCTTGCCCCAGAGCCTCAAAATTCTGTTCGGTCCTAAACTTGCAGACACCTCTAGGGCTGGGAGAGAGAAAAGCCAGCAAGTCAGTCCCCCACCACCTAAGACCATTAGCAAACCAGAAAGAAGCTGGGTGGCAAAGGACTGCCAGGCCCCTTCCCTCCTTCCCAGCAGAAGGGTGCTCAGGCGGGAGGCATCACATGACAGTGGGAGTTACCCTCCCTAAAAGCCAGCTCAGCGGATGGAGATAGGACCTCCTAGGCCTCAGCAGACCCTCTGCCAGGCCCAGCCTTCCCAGCTGCCGGGGCCTCTACCTGAGGCTTTGGCCAGGGACCAGGCCAGCCCCAAGGCCACCTCCAGCAGCGAGCTCTCCTGGGCTCCCTTCCCCCGACTAGCCCCCATGTTGATGGGTTTCCCTTTATGTCTCCTCCCCCAAAGCCGCCTGAGGCTGACACCGGCTTAGCGAGACAGCGCTTCTTTCGGAAACTGCAAAGCACCACACAATTGTGGCTTCCCGAGGGCCTTGTGTTCCAGGACGCTGTGATTACAGTAGGGAGAGAAGCACCAGCTTCTGTGCCATAGCGTCCCCCCCAAGCACACATATCCATGGAGTTATGGGGAAGGAGGAGATGCTGGAGGAAGCTGGGAATGAGGAGGGCAGGCCTGGGAAAAAGCCTCTTCCAGCTGTCACCCAGCCTCTCCAGAGCGCGCTGGGATCAGCAAAGAAGACAGAACAGCCAGGTGGGAGCCCTCTCAGCAGCGAGGGTCCTCTTTAGTCTTGGAGCCTCAAAGAAGGGCTTATTGGAAGGAAGAATGCTCTGGACATCACAGCGCCCCCCAGACACATCAACACTATTTTCCGCCTCCTGGGGTAGTTGTAAAAAAGCAATCACCGAGGGGTAAAGCTGGAGGGGCGGCAAGCTGACCTGTGCCGGCAAAAAGCAGTGGGTGCTGTGGAGCCAGGACCTGATGGGAGGGTCCCTGTTTCCCCTCCCTCCTAGGGCCCAGCAAGGAAATGCGGTCACTAGAGAGACGACGAGGTTCCTGGGCCCACGGTGGGCCCACCTGTTGCGCGGGGGTGGGCACCCGGTGCCGGGTGTAGAGGGGCCGTGCGTGCCTGTGTGCGTGCGTGGGTGTGCGCGCACGTGTGTTCAGGCCGCGTGTTCGGGGGCCAGGCGTACGTGTGTGTGCGGTGCGCGCGCGTGTGCCCCGCGTGTGCACGGGCGTGGCGGCGGCGGGCGCGCGACCCGGCCGCGGTAGTGCGTGCCCGTCGCTCTGCGCGCCCGCCCGCCAGCCGGAGCGCAGCATCGCCTCCGGCCAAGAGTGTGCATGCGTGGGGTGAGTGAGCGAGTCCGGGGGCCGGGCGGGGTGGGCTGCGGAGAGCAGCGGCGGGGGCGCCGCCGTTCCCAGGACGCCCTGGCACCGGCCCCAGCCCCCAGGCCCCGCGGCAAGGCGAGGCGGCAGCTGGGGCCGGCCGGCGCCCCCCTCCCCAACAGCTGGCCGCGGCCCGGGGGGCTGCAGAGAGGAGAGGAGGAGGCGTCGGGAGGGGCCTGCAGGCTTCCAGGCCGAGCCCTGCGGCCTCCCTCCCGGGTGCGGACCGCAGGGGGTTGGCCGCGGAAGGGCGGGGCCCCAGGGCGGGTGGCCGGCGGCCCTCGAGGAGCCCCGAGAACAAAAGGAGACGGCGACGGCTCCTCTGTGGTCAAAACAACCTGCGCTGGCGGCGGCCCAAGGTCTGGCCGCGGCCTCGGAGCCCTTCACCTTAACTCCTTCGCCGCCGCCGCCGCCTCCTTCCTGCGCCTCGTTGGACGCCAGGAGGGGCCCGCCCTCCTCGGGAGCCGGCGAGGTGCGGGCTCCCGGCCGCCGCGGAGCGGAGGCGGGACGGGACCCAGGCTCGCCGCGCTCCCCGCTGCCCTCTCCTCCCCTCCACCTCGCGCTTCCTCCCTGCCCCGCCCCCTTTCCCACCTGGATTCCGGGTGGACTTGCCAACTCACTGCTACGTGAGGCTGGGAGGGGTGGGGGGGTACTGATCCGACCTGATAGCTCCCGCAGACGTTTTTACACCCCACCTGCCTTGCAGCTATGCTTTTACTGGCGCGCTCCGCACCCTGCAAGCGGGGGAGAGAGGCGCTTCCTCTCGCTGGGCGCGGGCGCAGGTATGGCGGGGCCTGGGGCACACACCGCCCCGAGGGCTGGATTCCTTTTTTAAAAGCCTCTCCTCCTCCCCAATTCCTGAATGTCCAAAACCTCTCTCTCTCTCTCTCTCTCTCTCTCTCTCTCTCTCTCTCTCTCTCTCTCTCTCTCCCTCTCCCCCTCTCTCTCCCCCTCCCTCCCTCTCGGCAACCCCCGCGCGCAAGACACGAGCTGCTGCTGGACTGCGCTCTAGGGCCGGGCATGCCCTGCGCTGGCCCGAGGGCGCCCGTCCCGACCGGGAGCCGGAGCCCGGGAGGGAAGGCAAATCCCCGCGGAAGGCTGGCGTGGCTGCCACCGGTGCGCGAGCTCGCGGGTCCTGGACAGAACCTAAGCTGGAACCAAAGTGGGCTTGGGAGGACGCGCTGCCTTCTGCACCCTCGGCACCACCACCCCCCCACTCTCCCTTCGGGTTCCTGAGGGGTGGGAGCCAGGGCCACACACACACCCTCCCCCGACGCTGAAAGGGCCAGAGATCTGGGATCGCCCCCTGGGAAAGAAAGCTTCCCCTACCCCCTCCCCCTTAGAGCCTGGCACCTCCCGGACCTTGCGTCCCAGCCCTCGGAGGTCACCTAGCGCTCCGCGCTAGGCCCCTGGGCTGCAAGAGTCCAAAGTTCACTGCAGGGAGGGGAGGGGGCGACTAAGGGGTGCGGGTGGGGGTGATGAATGAAGCGAACCAGCCCTGGCAGCCGTCGCAACTCACCTCGGCGCTGACCAGACGCAGGTAGCAGCAGAGAGACAGGAAGAGCGCCCAGCAGCGATTCATGCCGACTCCGGGCCCGGCCCCGCGGGGCCCCGGACGCGTGGACCGAGCGCGCCGCCCCCGCGGCCAGGGTGGGGGGCGGGGGCTGGGGAGGGAGGTGGGCTCGACTCGGGTCTGCGGCGATCAGGCGCTCAGGCCGCTGCAGCCGCCGCCGCGGCTCACCCGCATGGCCCCCGGGCGCCGCCGCCCCCGGCCCCGGCTCCGTCGTTGAGGGGCTGGGGAGGGCCTGGGCGCAGGACCAGGGTCCGAGGCCGCTACCTGGGCGGATCCCGAGCCCGAGTGAGCATCCACGGCCAGGGGTCTGCGTCGCGAACCAGCCGAGGCGTCTAGCCGTGTGGGGGCGCCCAGGGGACTCCAACCTCCAAGAGGAAAAAGAACACGGCAGTCGATGGCTCGTCTTCACTCGCCGACTATAGGCGTTTTCCTCTGCCCGCCGGCTTAGCTTTTTTGCAACATTTTCTGGAAAGGCCCCCGAAGTCGGAAAGTGCAGAGCTGGGCACCTAAAGGCCAAAGTCTCCCCCAAAAAACTTTTTCCAAAGTTGGCTTTGCAGCGGCGGCCCGAGTACCCGGGCAGGGAGAGGTGCAAACTCCCGCCCGGGCCGGGTGGGGGGGGGCCGGAGCGTGTGCGGCTTGGCGCGGGGCCCGGGCGGCGGGCACGGCTGCTCCGCGCTCGCGGCGTGCCCGCTGCGCGCAGTGCCGGGCGCGGCAGACAGGTGGACGCGGCGCGAGTCCGTCGGTCCGTCTGTCGTCGCGCTCGCCGCTCTGGGCGTCCTCTGCGGTCTGTGAGCTGCGGCTGCTCCGGCTTCTCTTTGCAACGAGGCTGGAGGGTGGGCCTTTTTTTTTCCCCCTTTTTGCGCGTGTGTGTATGTGTGTGTGCGCAAAATATCTCAGTCTCGGGAATGAAAGATGGGCGCTGGCGGCCAGAGGGGAGCCCTCAGGGAGGCAGCGGGGGAGGCTGCGGGCGCGCGGGGAGGCAGGCGGGCTGCTCCCGGCGGCAGGAGGAGAAGTTGCCACCCTTTCAGCTGTTCCGGCCTTTATAAAGGAGAAGGGAGAGCGCTAGAGGTGGGTGGAGACTGCCTTTCCTCTTCTGGCCGAGAGTCAGCACCGGGGGGGGGGGGGGGGGGGGGGGGGGGGGGGGGGGGGGGGGG